AGTACAAACCCATAGAGCTCCTGGAAATCTGTTGCTATCCTAGCTAACTTGAAAACAGGCAGTCAAAGCTTTGCAACTAAATATATGCAAAAAAAACTAAACTTTGTAAAAGCTTCATCAAGAGCCCATATTCTGTGGTGTTGGGCATGGCACAGTGGTCTGGAAAAAAGTAGAGAATTTCCAGAGGCAGCTTCATGCCTCTGTAAGGCTGAGCAGAGCACTGAGCCATGCGTGACTCTGAGGGATGCGGGGTGCTGACGCACAGCTGTTATCTGGCTTTGAAGATTCAGTGTGTGCTGGGGAAGGCCTGGGTGGCTTCCAGTGCTGAACAAGATGCAGCTGCATTGTGTCACTGCACGGGACAGGCCCAAGAAGCCTGGGGGCAATGCTGATGCTAGCGTTTGGGTGTGTTGGTCTCTTCCTCTAGGTTATAGATCTCTTGCCTGTTGTGATTATGCCAGAGCCAGTGGTGTTAGCTGCTGCTCCTTAGCTCTCCTAGTCGCAGAGATAAGGATAAAAGAAATGGATTGTGTTATGATCTGCTCACTACTGGGGCTGTCAGCTTGACTTGCATTGTATTTCTGTTGGTAAGCAGAGGACATCTGACCCCTTCTTGGGAGAGGGAACTGAGCATCAGCACTGCTTCCCTTAAAAGCAGATGGGAGAATGTGCTCTTTCGCCCTGATGGCAGGGCTGTATTACTTCATCTGAAGGTTGCAATCACAATGTATGTACTCAGCACTACCGTGGCCTTTGCCTCAGAGAGCTTGCAGTGCAAGGGTTAGACTGCAGTCTCTTCTGAATTTGTTTTTCTGTATGCTTGCACTTATATGAATATCTCAGTGTAAATGCAGTAGTTCAGCTGATGTTCTCTCACTGAATCCTGGGACTGAAATTTATTTTTTGGGGGGGGAGGGGATTTTTTTTTTTTTTTAACTTTCAACTTTAAAAGAAGAAACTGATATCCATCAGACTTAGCCTGAAGCAAAACTCTCAGTGATGGCAAGCCATGAGGCAAACACTGTGAGATAAGGGCTGTTGTAGGAAATGATCTCTTTTCCCTGCTGTGAGTTAAGATGCATATTTCTGGTTTTATACTGACAATGTGTACCAGTGGTAAATGTTGCTGTTCTCTCTGAATGTCTTCACTCAAAAATCCCAGGGCCATGGAATGGGGAAAATCTGTTCATGTGACAGAAAAAGGCTGACAAAATTTTTTCTGTGGATTCAGTTTCACTGTTGATGCCAACTTAAAGCTATGTTTCTCCACCAAATGACTTGGCTGAAAAGGAAAAGGGGAAAAAAAAGATTTAAAATCTACAGTTAGGTTGACTGCCTCATCGGTCGTGCGTTCATCCTCTATAACAAGAGGGAGGTGATGGGAGCACATCCTCAGGATGAGGAGGGGAATAGAAATGCTTATTTTGGCACAGGCTCTTTCTGCATCCCCTGAAGCCCTTTTGAGAAGTTATCCTGAGAACTGTGTTTACTGTTAAGCTTACATAAAACCTGGAGGATCTGTTCTCATTTGTAGCCTGGCAGTTTTAAATATCCTAGCAGTAATTAGAACAGCTGATTGGTTCATATTTGGGTGTTACAAATCGACTTAAATGTTTTGTTTCTTATGCTGCAACTTTGGTAACAGGAGCCACTAGGATCATTCTGGTAAATCATTACATTATGTATATTATACTCAGAGAGACGATTTTTTCTAGCCATTGAATGTTTAACAGTAAAATTGAGCAAAGCTTTTATAAGTGAGACAAAGCCACTCCTGTGATCAACTTGAGTTGATTACTCACAAGTCATTTTCACCAACTCCCATGAAAACTACCAGGTTTTAGCTACTGACGTTGCTAAAGGAACTTGTAGGAAACTGATGGGGTTTAAGGACTCTGTGACCGAACCTTCGTCATACCAGAGTGTGGTTTGTATTTGAAAGAGATGTATTTCCTACAAGGGCTTTGGTAGAAAGTCAGATGTTTCATTCTGAAGGAGATTTGTGTTTATAAATTTTCTGCTTTAGCAACCCAATTAGATATCTAAGCCGTATACTTGGATCGGAGTCTGAGTGCAAATGCCAAATAGCTGGGTTTCAGCATACTCAATATTTGTTGCAGATTTGCCTTAATTTCTCCAGGTTTTCCAGCACTGAATTTATCCATGACCTGATACAGTAGTTTCATGCTACTGCAGATGGGCATGTTGCACTCTCTCCTCTGCTCAGTAGCTCTGCAAAGTTCTGTCTGCTCTCACTGCTGGATTAGCTGGCTGGTTAGCTAGCTACAGGTGGGGTTCCCATGTTAAGATGTCAGTTTATGTAGGAACATGGTGAACTGGAGCTGTTCTGGGGCAGCTGTGAGACTTGTTAGGTAAGTTCCCTTCATGTTATTTGATAGCTATGTTTGTGAAGAATATTTCTCAAACATAAAACTAATGAGTATTATCTGATACATTACCTTTCTGGTTCTGCGTGTAGCCTGAAAGCAAACTTTTGGAGGTGATGAACTGTTTCTTTTCACTCTCCGGGGCTTGTTAATCTTGAAACTCACAGAGGAAAATGGAAACATTAGCTGTTTCATAGCTAACCGCTTTAGCAGAACTGCCTGGTTTGTGCACGTTAACCCTAAACTGCCTCCTTCCATGGCAGAGACCCCGTCCCTTCCCCACCACAACCATCTTCACCCATGCTCAGAGGTGATGTGCAGACCCAAAGCCCATCAGCTCTGGTGCCAAAAGTTGTGGCTGAAGAATGACCAGCTGGGTCGGGGTGCTCATTTACTTCAGCGAGAGGTTTGGCATCTCAGAAATAGAAGGCTGTTATGTAACTCCTATCCTGTTGCAGTGTGCTCTGGGAGGCAGGGAGCTCTGACTCAGGGTTAGGCCCAGCTTTCTGTCTGCATGCAAAATCATGCAAACCACAGTTTAGAAGACTCATGTTGCAGATGTGTCAAAGTCAACATAACAAGAGCAGAGTGAATAAGTGCAAAAGTAAGCAGCATCAGCCCAAGCCCTAATCCAAGCCAAAATGGATTTTCTGTCTTTGTTGCTGTTAAGCAACAAAGTCAGTGGGGAGCACATCCATCCCTGTGCCAGGCAGTTGTACATGGGGGATGTATTGTATTCACCCTTCACTTAAATCCCTCTTCTCTCTCCAACCAGGACTCTGCCTTGTCCAGTGTCTCTTTTGGTACTTTTTCTCCCTTGAAAGTCTGCTTTATAAAGCTGTTCTAACAGCAGAAAGCAGTGTGTGCTGCTCTGTCATGCCCAGTCAAACAGAAAACTGGTGTGCGTGATGCTTCCCTTCTCCATGCCAGCCTTCTACTTTTGCCTGTTTCACAGAAAGGTAGGAAACAGTGGTGTGGGTGCTGAAGTGGCTTTTTCTGCTCAGTGAGGGCACTGCTCACTCTCCTTGTTGGGCCTCCCTCATGCCCATGACTGAAGTGGTACTGTCTGTGAGGGAAAGGGGCACCTCCACCCCTGAGTGAACTGAGGGGCTCAGCTGTGCCCTGCAGCTGTTCTGTGGGGCACTCTGCTCTTTGCTATTTCCATCTTTGATGGGTGAGAAGCCCTCTTCAGGCAGGCCTGCTGATTATTTCTGCTTCCTCTGGTGCTTTTCAGGAACTGAACTGGCATAGTGCAACTTCAGAGGCTCCAGCTTTGTTAGCTTGGGGGGCCTGGGTGGATTCAGTCACTGGCCTGTAAGCCCAGTGCAGGACCCAATCCTGGGTAGCTATGATAGAAGATGCCCACCTTCAGGCCTCTGCACCTCTGCTCTGTGCATGATTCACTGGTTTTTACCACTCAGAACTTTCTGCAGGGCTGTCCCTAGGCAGGCTCCACATGGGGCCGTGCTTGTGCTAGCAGAGCTGTGTGGGCACACCACGTGGGATTTTCCTGTAGCTACTGCCAAGCAGGGGCACTGTGGTCTGGGTCATGGTGGAACTGCCTACTCGTCTGCTTGCTCTGTCCTCCTCCTTACTCCCTCTGCTTTGCTTTCTCTCTTCATGTGGGGTTTCTTTTTCTAGTCTGGATTTTGAGCAAGGCTGTATCTAGAAGTGTATTTTAGGATACTTCATTTACTTCATTTTTTTTCCTCTTGCTGTTTTGTGTTCTATATAGAATTCTGTGTTTCTATCAGTGTGTTTTCCCCTCTTTCTAGAAAGAAAATAAAAATGGGGGAAGGGCATATGCTTCGGGTTGGAAATTCTGCAGCTTATGAAGACTTGCATTTTTTAAAAACACTGCCAGAATTAGGTAGGTGTTTGTGTGCAGCTGGCATGCTGACTAGCAACTTGTTAGAAAATACCTGGTAAATAAGTTAAAGTGATCCTTTTTTTTTCCCCCTCAAATTAACGTCAGGGCTTCCTGGAAACAGTGGTGGTGAGCTCATATCACACAAGCCATTTCAGTGACAGGCACCTGCACCTCCCATGAGCAATGTCTCATTTGTTTCTGGCTAAGTCAGTTGGGTTTGCTTGGTTCCTCATGCTGTGCCAGCAGGCACTCTGGCTGATTTTGGTTAGAGCAGGACCCCACAAGGTAAAAATTTTTCAGATAAATGCATCCTTGCTTGGCGCAAGTCTCTACTTGATCCTGCTTGTAAAGATAAAATTTCTTTTTTTCCCATCCTCTCAGCTTTGTGCCTCTTGTTTTGCTTCTGGCATCTAGGGATAAAGCAGTAATGAAACCTGTAACCTGGGTAAAGTCTGATAGAGACCTTTGCTGTGGCTGCCTTTATTTATTACATTGCAAACCATGAAGGATTTTTTTCTAATGAAACTTACTTACTTGTCTTGCTTGATCTGAGAAGAAAATGTTTGAGTGGAATCAATTTCTAGGCCTGTGACTTGAGCAGAAAAGAAAAAAATTGAGGAGATACTTGAAACATCTGTGTTCATTACATGTTGTGGAGCTGAACTTTTTTTCTTAGGAGCTTTAAGCGTGAGACTATGTAATCTATACAGTACATGGAAATAGTACATAAAAGCATTAAAGCAGGAAAAAATTACTCTGATCTGGGGGTATCAAGAGTCCAGAAAAGCAGACTTCTTTTCAGAAGAACTTGATGGCTTTTTGAGCTGGTGTCAGCAGTTGGAGGCAATGAGGCTGGCGCTGCTGGAGCTGCCTGGGTGAGTGCCCAGGTATCAGGAGCAGCAGGGTCCAAAGCAGACCAGGCCAGGAAGCACACAGCCTGAGACCTGGGAGCATCTACTCACCATCTGTAGCATTGTAGAGTGCTCTGCTGGCACCCACAGATCTTTGACTGTAGTTACAAAATTGTGCACTATTTGTGAATGGATTCAGAAGGTCACATGCGGAAGTCCTTAAGGCTCTCGTCTCCACACGGTTGTCTGTGTATAGAAGGGCAATTTTAGCATGTTTCTGAGCTGAACAGGAACGTTCAGGTCAGCTCTGATTCCTGTGTTGGAATTGCTAGTGCTGTCGGATAGTAAACTATGGAAAAACTTTGTAGTGTGTGGATAGGATTCTTTCTCTACTGTGCTAGATTTAGCCAAGGTTAGTCTTGTGACTAAGATGGGCAATTCAAATAATATCATGTGTGTTGACTCTAAAATGCTCTGTCACATAACTAATATAAAATAAACCTATACTCTACATTACTTTGAGAATAAGACCACACTAAATGTTTTTGAGCTTGAATTCTGGGGGAAAGGAAAAAAGATTACTGCTAGTAGGACTAAATTAGCTTAAAACAAATATTACCATTAACTCTTTTAAATATTGCTTAGTGCATATAAGAGTACTATTGCCAGTGCTGGGGATGGCCATTCCTCCATCCTGTCATGACTGAGCTCTGGGTACAAACTGGGGAACTCTGCATCAATGCACTGCATCCAGAGATGGGGTGTATGGGGTGGAGGGTGGGGATCAGCAGTCCTAGTTCAGTATTGGCTCTTAAAGTAGGACAGATGCAGAGGTGGACCTCTCTCTAGGCCTGTGCTGGTTCATACTGTTACCTGCTTGTGTACACTGACTAAAGCAGGCTGGTACATGGTTACAGTGGAAGGCTGGTCTGAACTCTGAAGCAGCAACGCAGAGGCAGATTTGTGGTGCAGCAGGAGGTGATGTGGCAGAATATTGTAAAGGTAGTGTCCCTTGGAGGCAAAAATAGATATACATTGTTTCTCAGCTGCTGAAGCAGTTGAGACATGCAATTTTGACCTGGTTACCCATGGAAAGTTTTCCTCTACACTTCTATACAAGGGTTTTGAATATGTCTTGGTCTGTTGCATTCCCTCATCGGGCTGTGTCAGAGAGGGGTGGTGAGTGTGCACAACTTCCAGTTAGACCATGTGTGGTGGCAGTGCTTTGAGCAAGTGCTGTGGCACAACTGATCTTCTGCTATATATAAAGTGGATAACATTAAAAAAAAAAAAAAGCACGTGTGTTCTTCCATGTTTATTTTGAATAATGGAAACAACAAATGTGTCTCTTCTTTTGGCAGAACCAGCTCCTTGCGAAAGGCTTGCTGTTCATAGAGGAGAAGGTTAAGCTGTGTGAAGGCAAGTACACACGTTGTAAGAAACCCATTTTGGAGTGGAGTCCTTGTGGGCCCTTCTGAGTCATGCTTTGATGTTTGGCTGGAGGAGATGATTTGCAATGCTAAAAAGCTTACAGCCCTTTCTGGTACTACCTGAGAGTGTGTCATGGACTTTAGGGGCTAGGCTGCACTGCAGTCTGTGCATTCCTTATGGCTGGAGGACTGTTTTCAGAACTGTGTGGCTGCAGTATTCCTGCCAGCCATGGCTTCACCGCGAGAGTGATAGCATGGTCTTGGGTGGCATTGGAACCTGGGCTAAATGCACTTCTGGATGGGTGTGAATCCTATTGTGAAACTGTGCTGAGAGTCCTCTGCCTTTTACTTCTGAGTGTGATTTCCAGCTCTACACTCTGGCTGTTTGGACTCTTGGAAGCATGATTTTAGTTACAGCAGTGCTGTGGTGTTATACTTTTGAGAGCTGAGCTAGCAGGTCTTGTGTAAATGTAAAGAAAATGGTCACATGGATGGGATTGAAATTCTTCAGCAAAAAAGAAGCTAACCATTCATGAAGATCTGTTCAAACCACTGGGTACAGATGCCTGTTGCCACAGAGCCTGTGGACCAAGGCCATTCTGGAGCAGCAAGGCTCAGGGGTAGCTGCTGGGGGAGTTAGTCTTGTTATTAATGGCTTGCTCAAGCAGAGAGTGCTGGCTGAAGCATACATCTTTATTCAAAACTAGGCTACCATTTGATTTGACCCAGTTTTGTAGCCTGTAGGGAAGATCCCTTGCTAATCATCAGCTTGCTGTATCTGGGTCATTAAATGCCAGTAGACACTTAATTTTGTCACTGTTGGCGCTGGATTTCTCTGCACTGTTCTTCATCAAGTGACTATGTCTATCTAGCCAGCATGCTGTGGAACTGAATGGACCTTGATGATGGAGCTGTGCAGTTGCCAGCCCTCTGCTTGATGTGTGCTTCTTTAGCACGGACTCTGTAATGGAGGGGAAAAAAGGCAGATTTATATACTACTCATGAATGTGGGTACTTGCCATGCTGCTGCCAGCTCTTCAGACTAGGCACTGTATGCTTATCAGTCTGATATCTTGTGGGTTTTTTTGCTTATTCATGTAAAATATTCAAATTTCTGCTTTAGCATGAGGAAAAGTGAGTTAGTCTACAACAAACTGAGAGCAGATGAGGAGTAGTTTGCAACCAGTGAAGTAGTTTAGGTGGGATGAAACTTTCCAGGCAGACAGCAAATCCCCCTTGTTATGCTTTATTTTCCCCCCCCCCCTGTTTGAAACAACCCTGGAGCCACTGCACCCATGCAGACTGGCATCTCTGCATGAGATGATGACTCATGACCACTTTTCCTTCATAACATGTAGACTTGTTCCAGGTCCTGTGGTCGCAGCAACAAGAACTTCTTGTACGCGTTCTCTGTTAGTTGTGTCTTCCTGGAAAATTTCTCCTGTCCCAGTATTCAAAGATGTTCCTGCTGTGGGGCATGGCAGTGTTTTTACTGCATCTATTTTTTTTTCTAATCTCAGTCTCATATTTTACTATTTTTCTTGCTCTACTCTTTCAGACTCTTTTTCAGTGCCTGTAGGATTTATGAGTTCTTGAAGAAACAAACTACTCTCCATTCTTCTTCAGAAGGAAAAAGCATTTCATTTTTAGCTCCACACAAACAAATTACAGTTCTGGGGAGGAGACAGAGGGAGGAGAAGTTCATCTGTTTCCTGTTGTCTTTTTCACTTATGGCTGGCAGTTTCAGGCAGTGGATATCTGTTATGGGGGTGCTGGGTAGGTCTCATGTGCTCCACTTCTGAAACTGATGTCATATCTGAGATACTTCCCTCTCGGCACTCCAGCAGTCAGTGAGGTCTCTGCTTGAAAGGAAACATCTGTAGAACCTGGTCCTGCTGACTCTCTCCCCTCTGATTGGGTTATAAGCAATATGACCCGTGGGCAATGCCCTGGAGGAAGTCCACATGGGAGTCTCCAGATGGGGAAAACACGTGAATGCATAGTGATAAGTCTCCCCTTAGATGCAATTTTGCGTTCCGGTTCCTCGCTTAAGCTTGAGCTGAGACTTTGAAGATGCCTTGAGCAGCTGTCTTCATTTACTGTTCCTTGAATCTTGACTACTTGAGGGCTCCTCCATATGAGGCTCTGTGAGAGGTATCCTGGGAAATGAGTTTGTCAGAAGCTTGTTGTTATTAAATGTGGGTCTGTATTTGCTCCTGGAATTTCTAGGAGTTGTATCTAAAAAGCTTGGCAGAAAGCTGGCACTTCAGGTGGGAAAAATCCCATAAAAAGCTTAGAGGTTTTGGGTCTAAATGCTGAGAAACATAGAGCTGTTTAAGTCAAGCCTGTAAAAATAATTTAGTGTCTATTTGAACTATAATGTTCAGTAAAGCATTTTTCTGTTAATAACAGGTTTTCTGACCACAGCTGTATTCTTGTTATGGGAGTCATGAGTTGCTTAGCATAATCTGCCTTCATTTGAAATATCCCCTTATGTCTGGGGATACGTGTTGGAGTCAGATTCACATGAGGGCTAACCACAAGTGGAGTTCACTTAGGAACCTTCCAATTTGCCACGTTTGAGAGGCAAAACCTTCAGAGGAGCACCATGGCTTTGTGGCTTGTTGGAGTTGTGGGTTCCTGCAGGAGTTCATGACTTCTGTGTCTGTCCTTGAGGGTGGCTGGATGCTAGAGATGGCTTTGCTCTTACAGAAGTTCTCTCTGACTCAGTGGCTGCAGGACAGCTGATACTGGCTGTGGCCTCCCAGCTTTCATATGCAGTTGCTAGCACACAGCTAGGTTCCTGTAGTAGTTTAGTAATTGTGAGCTGTGAAGTTACAGTCTTTATTCAGAGTTAGAGCCTCCTTACAAAGAAATGCATTTTGTTGGAGCTTGTTCTCTTTGTGTTAAATGACAGAGCAGTTTATGATCACAACCTTGTTTGTCAGTTAAGGCAAAGCTTAGCTGACCTGTCACTTTCTGTGAGGAAACTGATTGTGCCTTTGTATCTCTTACTTTGGGAAGTAGGGAGTAGTGGAACTATTCAACTTGACTGCAGTGTCCCTGTTGCTAAAGCTCTTTCTCACTCCCAATCTGTTTTTGTAGGTGAGGATCGCATTGACATCCTGTCTGAAATTTGGGATCACTACTTCACTGAGACTCTTCCTACACTCCAGGCAATATTCTATCCAGTACAGGTAATCTTAATTAACATAATGACAATTCTGCTAACAGTACAGGGAAATGCCTGTTTTGGAAGAACTGGCTAGTGGCTAAGCAGGTCTCAAAACCTTGGAGCTAAATCTTAGAGGAAGCAGCATTTGCCCAGACCCAGATCAGCATTCATTTTTAAGGACTGCTAAAATCTACTGGGCAAGTACAGTCTTCTGAGCTCTTATTTCCCTCTGTCTACCCTGTCTGTGCCTAGCTAAGCTTGTATCTCTAAATTATTGGATTACTTGTCTAGATTGAAGCTCTGGACTGTTGGCTGAAAGTAGGTTCGTCTGTTTCTAAATATTTGGAACTCCAGTACAGATGATAGTGCTGACAATTTGCCTGCAGGGAAGGAAATATGAAGATCAGATCATGAGCAAATGTCTTACTTGTCCAAACTACTTTTGGAGTGTTTACGTCCAAGCTGTGTCTCTGGAAAATTCTCTGTTAGCGTTTTTAAAGCTTTGGTAAAGGGGCAAGTAGATCTCTAAGGACAAATGGACAATTAAGTGTAAGACTTATGTACACTGGGTATTTTAAATCTGAGTATCCCATCAGAAGTGTCGGGCTCTCAGTTTTTCATGTGGCTTTGGTCAAAGTTTCTGTATGAGAAATCTGGATACCTTCCTAGGCTATTTTGATCTTCTGTCCTGTGATAAGTAGACATTCTGAGAAATGCTAGCTGCCTTCTCTTGACTTCTGGCTATCCATGAGATATATTTTCTGGAAAAGTCTTTTAGTTATATTCCCTTTGTTTTCTTTGAAAGGCAGCATGTAAAGCTCAATTTGCCCTTTTCCTCTAATCCTTTTAAAGCTAGCATCTCCTAGAAGAGCAAAGCCCTTCTATAAAGACAAATGCTAACCTTTTTACTGTTTATTTTTGTTCTTTCCTTGCTGCGGAAGCTTAAAGGTAGGTGTTTGGCAGCTGGAACTGCGCACTTCCAATATGCTCCCTTTGCAACTAACTCACAGTCATGGAGTGATGTCATCTATTTATGTGACAGTTTGTTTGCTCTGCAGTTATCTGTGCACTGTAGAAAGAACTGAGCTAACTGTTATGTGATACCTGCAAATAATAATTCTTAGCTTACCAGAAAAATCTGCTTCAGTGCAAAGACTACTGCACAGTAGTAGCAGCTTTTAGAATTTGGTAGCGATTAAACTGAGTATGGGATGCTGAGATTGTTTGAAATATTAACTTTCTTAGTGTCCATCTCGTTGCAAAGTTTTTGTCAAAGGTTTTTCACAGAAACTGCTAGGGAAGTATCGTTGTTTCACAGATGAAGAACTGAAATGTAACAGACAGCATACTTAAAACTTTGCAAGCATATACGTCCTACATAGAGTTATGGATTTGACTCTCCTGGATACATCTAAGCACCTGACTCTAAGTCCTAGGTTACAATTAAGCGAGTTGCTGGTGCAGCAGGGAACTAATGAATTTTGCTCTTATCCTGAGCTAGCAATCTGATTACAAGCCTGGTTTTTCCTATAAATAAGAAACTGTATGTAGCATTTATCTGGCATATTACCAAATGTAAAGAGATCATCTAGCAAATCTCTTTCACCAAGCTGCTGTTCTTCATGCGCTATTCCAATAGCTGAGAAAGTCTGTGTGCTGTTGGTTCCTCAACGTTTGAAACTCCTTTGTTGCAAACACAAACGTGTTTTGTGACTTTTGTGATCCCAGCAGCTGACCATTCAAAATGAAAGTCGGCCAGATATGTGAGCATGTTACTGGTGGCAGTGACCAGAAGTAACTTTGTGTCTCAACTAAGTTTGAACGTGAGGCTCGTAGCTGTTGCAGCAGTATGACCTTTAAGCGGCCAAGTGGGTTAAATTGCTGTACAGAGGAAAACTATGTAAACAGGTCACTGACTTTAATATAATTGCAGCTGTTGATGTAACCAGTTGGTGTGGAAAAAGAATAGCAAGTCTTGTTCTGTTTGGCACAGCGGTATGTTTGCATTTTGAAATGAGATATGAAATTAATGGGGCTAAACCACATGGGATAAATAAAAAGCGTGCAGCTGCTGAAATACAGTTTGGAGATGAACGTGAGCCAGACTGTTCTACACCTTGATGTTTCTAAGCGCTCAGTGATGGTTTAAAAAACAGTAAAGTGCTTTTACAGTGGCCATGCTGCTTGCCACCCCACTGCCTTTAGATCGTATTTACATATTGATGATGCTGTTAATTATGACATTAAAACCATTATGAATTAATAATTAACTGATCTTAATTCCTTCCAGCTAAATATTTGCCTCAGTGAGTATGTTACGGATACTATAAAATGGTTACAAAATGGAGTGCAGGTCAGGGATTAATGTGTCGGGGAGAATAAGGAAAACTTTAGGCTGGGAGGTAAGCAGGGCCAGAGGAAACTTTCTGCTGTTAAATGGGGCAAGATAAAGTCACATGTACCTTCTGCCTAGCAGAAGGAAATGTAGTAACACTAGAATGCTCGATGGGGTCTAAAGATGTCTGGTGTGCTTAGAAACAGAACTGTGTCTTCACTTGGTAAGCTAACTCACTTGTTGATGCTGAAGGTTACAGTATGCTTTGTGGAGGAAATCAAAGCTGTTGTCTTCATTTTGTCTAGTTGCTTTTAAAAGATGCTGATACAAGCAGTCCAACTAGCTTTGTTCTAGCCTAAATCCTAAAATCTATAGTTGACTGCATTGTGGATTTTTGTCTTACTAGCCAGGTCTGTCTGCTCAGCACCTGCACTTTAGACACAGAACGCAGGCATAGGCTTGATTAAGGAATATTCTGTGCTGAGCTCTTTCCCTACAAAATCTTTAGTGATTTCTCAGCTCCAAGCATCAAAAGCACCAACTGCATCCACCCTGGCCTTCAGGTGTTTGTGACCAGATTGGCTGCCAGTTGGGTTTTATGAACACTTTCACCCTTCTGGTGAAATAGAGGCCCCTTTTTGGCTTTACTCCAAGCCTAGCAACACATAACATAAGGAGTTACTCTTTTCAGAACTTATGTGGGACAGAGACTGAGTAGGAAGCTGTCAGCACCAGAAGTCCTCACACTGAGCAGCTGGGGGTGCTTCACCACAGCAGCAATGGGCAGGATAGGCCCGTTCTCTCTATGTATATGCATGTGTTGTTGTGGTGCTCCCATATTCCTTTACCAACTCTTGAATTTTTGTCTTCTCTGTTTTCTAGGGTCAGGAGTTGACCATCCGTCAGATTGCTCTTCTTGGTTTCAGAGACTTGGTCTTGCTAAAAGTGAAGTTGGAAGAAATTCTTCCTCTGGTCCAGACAAAGCTTCCAGCTTCCATTGTCCAGATGCTATTAATTCTACAGGTGGGAAGCTTCTGGTTTTCCTTGTTTCACTCTGTTTGAGACTCTGTCCTCACCCAACTGATACAAACTTTGGAAAGGAGAGTGGGGAGAGCAGAGGGTGAGGTTAAGGGGAAGATATGTGGTCTTATGTGAGAGTGCTGAATGTAAAAATGAAAGCTGACTTTCAATGGTTAATGTCCTGAGCTTTCCTGGCAGTTGATAAGGATAGGTCTGTGAAAGGGCCCAGTTCTGCTCTTGTTTGCATTTTCCTTGGTACTTTGTCTCTCCAGCTAGGGACAGTCCCTGTAGTCTTCTAATTTCCTCATAAGTTTCCCAACTTCTGTGAACACATAGGTCTCCTGATTTGTCAGCTTTTTAATGACCCAGCAAGTCTCTTTATATGGGTAATAAAGGCATTGGAAGGAGTATTGCCTGCTGGCTCCCTAGTACCTTCCTCTTTCCTAAATGGGATGCTGAACCCCCTCTATGAGAGAAGGAATATCTTATGGCAGCATGCAAAACGGTGCAGGTTTTCCAAGGGCATCTTGCAAGGAACACAGACTTCTTGTAAGGACTGTCTTGTATAATCAGGCTTGAAGAAAATGGAATCCTTGTCCTCCAAGCAGGATGTGTATGGCCAAGTTTACCTTTTTCTTTAATATTGCTCAGCCTGGCAGTCCTGAAAAATACCATAATCCAGGTTGCTGTTTGGGCTCTTCTCACTTTAATTTCTCTTCAGATATACCTTATGATAATTGATGGGGAATAAAACTTGCTGAAGTATGTATGATCGAAGTTGCACAGTATCTAAGCTAGTATTTCTGTGCGAGTTCTCGCTCAATTCAGGTATCCTCTGTGACCCAGGCTGTAATAGCAGGAAATATTAGAGTGCTAGCTCAATTTCCATAAAATATCATAATAAAAGGAGTCAGGGGGCAAAGGGAATCTCAGTGACACATCTGAGAAAGAAAAGCCTACTGAGGGTTTGCAGCAAGCTAGTCTGTGGACACTTTCTGAAATTACAGTTAAATTACTTAGTTACAATCTTTCATAACTGTAAACTAAATTAGAGAGGGTGCTTCTCCTGCAAGCCTGTCTTAAGGAAAGAGCAGGGCTTTGCCCAAGCTGTGATAAGGCATTTCCACAGAGATATTTCCTGGCAGAAGTGCCTTGGTATAGCTGTGTTTCTGTAGTTATTCTGTGTAAATCTCATGTTACTGTAGCTTGTTTACTATCCCTTGGTCATTTAAAAAAAAGTAGTCTCTTGGAAAAAAGTCTCTTGGCAGTCTGACTATGACTTGAACAAGGAGGCTGGTGTGATCAGCATGCAAGTCTCCATTTTGGCTCTTCAGCTGTGTTCCTTTAAGTTCTGTACTGATATAGCTGTGATATTCCAGAGCCAAGATATTTGGACTTCAGTAGAAACTTACTACAGATGGGTAATTATGGCTCTTCAATTTCACCTTTAAATTTCAGAGTGTCCATGAACCTGATGGCCCCAGTGAGAGCTACCTACAGCTGGAAGAATTGGTCAAGCAGGTGGTGTCACCATACTTAGGTTTGTGTGAGGACCACAGCTTCTCTGGTAGCACCTGCTTGCTTGGTAAGACATGCAACAGCGTACGGAAGCTCTTTCAAACAGTTTGTGTGGTACCAAGGTTGGCTAATAGGATGCAGGGCACATCTGTGCTAGAAAGGAAGTGCTGCATGACTCCAGGAGAGAGGAAACAAAGGTTAAAGCACCCTTAAGAATGTCCTGGTTAACATATTTCTGAATGTAGATCTTTTTCCAGCAGTTACTGTTGCATCTGCCACTCTTTGTAAACTGCTCACTTCTTGCCTACTCATCTTGAGGGATTGTTTCAAATTTTGCATGGACTCTTCCATGCATTTGAGCATTCTGTTTGGGGGGGAAAAAAACCTACAGTTTAAATAAATCGTGTTGTAAATGGAGCTATGAGAGAGAACTGTCACATCGCTTCAGAGAGGTGATGGTCATAGTGGAAAACCTCTGTGTATTATTGAAGAGCCCTGCTAATAAGCATGGCCTGTGAGAAATAGATTAGCTAAGAAATAAATGTGGCAGTGCTGTTTAGGTAACCAAAAAGATTGAAATGAAGTAAATGAAGAAAGCTCTAGCCCCGCACTGTTTTGTGGTACTTTATAAGCTGTAGCCTCTCCTTTGATACAGACTTTGTCTAGACGAAGGCACAAGCTATTCTGTGTTACACCTTAGCAGCACAGGCAGAATACAGTCTTATGGTAGAATGGTTCATCAGGGCTCGGATGCTCTGTCTCTAACAAACTCCCAGCCTGTAGTGCTGGGGAAGTGAAACTGCCTGACCTATACCGAAGTTCCTAGCTAGCCTGGATTTCTGCCAGTGAGCAAAGTATTGGTATCATAAAAACAAAATTCACGTGAACTTTACAAGGCCAGTTCATGTGCCTTAAAATCATTGTATGTCTTTTTTTTTTTTTAGCTGTCATTTACTTCTGTGTATTTCCAAGGTGGCCTTTTGCCCCTGCTCCACCCTATGCTGAGCAAAGAGAAGTAACTTTTGATTGCATTACACAGCAGAGACAAAAAGAGCAGCATTTTCCTGCAAATAAGCTTCTGTGGTGGTAGTTTCATCTAGCAATTGCTGCTTCCTACCAGATTTCTCTCCCTTCCCCTCTCCTTTCTGTCACTTATTTTGCTTTCTCAGAGCCGGTGTATTCTGTCACTAGGCAGCTGGTAGTGATGGAGAGTCCCAGTAGATTCCCTGCCATACAGTGGCTCTGTGGTGCCTTTCTGTTGGGCTTTGGATGTGTTTGCATTCTTAGTAGATGCTGTGGAGTCCAAACTGCTATCTGGAACACAACCTTCAAGTTGCGTTGGTTTTTGAGAAGTGCAATTGAGGAAGATTGAGGTCACAGCTGTGAATAAACATAAGGCTTTGGCCTTCAAGGCTGCAGTATGTTAAACTTGATTTAAGCTGAGAGAGGAGAGCAGTAGGAATAGGTGTGGGGGGGGGGGGGGGGGGAGGGGGGGAGGGGCAAACAAAAAAGTGCAGGGGGGGAAGGGGGGAGCCAAACGACCCCCAGGAA